GGAACACAAGAAGGCCACCGAAGGTCATAAGCTTTGGGCCAGAGAGTCTCAGTAGCACTCCGCGCCTTTCCCCAAGGCGCGGGCCTTCTCAAGAATTTCCTTGTTTCAAGGAGTTTTCGGAAGCGTTTTGTGTAGTGAACTCCCCAGTCAAGCCTCAAAACCTGCTGACACCTCGCCCATGGCCTGGGCCATATGTAACCCTTTTTCTTGGCAGACTGCGCGCCTTGGATCCAAACGAGAAAAAAGACGGGGGCCAAACCTGAGACCTGCACGGGAGGCTCGGGACCCACTCCGACATCTCGAGAGGTAAGCGGGAAGCTCCCTGGTTTTATGATTGGGGGCAAATATATGTTGATCAATATTCCGTTCGGCCCCCAAATGACCATGGGTAACTTTTCTATTCAGTGAGAAATATCACGTGTTTTGTGGTTTCCGTTCATGGTCATCCTGCGTAAAGGACCTTTTGATCAACCTCCACATCTCGATCGAGCGCAAGCGCCAACTTCAAGCAACTGAGACAGCATTGGCTCCATGAGATGCAAGCTTGGCAATCAAATGCTTTCAGGCTACTGCCGGGTGTCCAGGTGCAAAGCCGTCTTTTGCGCAAGTGCTTCTGGTCAAATGATGATGCAGTGTGCATGTCTCATGCTTCAACCTGGTTAGGGAAGCTTGGTGTGACGACAAAGTGCAATCCCCCCTCATGCGCCTGTTGTTCAAGGCCCCCACTCCAAACGCCGCACACCCCGCTGCCCCCTGATACCCCAACGCATGCGGCCCCAAGGTACAACACCCAACGATCGAGTTGCTGCAAACCGGAAAGTTGCAATGTTTGGCTTGCAGTTGGTGCGCAACACGGCTCAAGACACGTCCTCGCAAAAGTTGGCCACAATCTCCTCAGTTCAGCAGGCTGACAGGGCGCATTGTCACCCAAGCGCTGCAAGTGGGGCCGACCTTCTGCCCGAAACCGTTGTCCAAACAAGCTGCGGGGGATTGTGCTGCAGCAACCCATGTGACCGCCCGTGGCACAACTTGAGCCTACGGAACCCGTGGAGTCCGTACCCTCCGAATCCTCCGAATGCCTCCGAATGCCTTCGCTTGCCTATATGGCTGTGGATCAAAACCCTGTACCCCCAGTAAAAATCAAAATCCCCACTAAAGTAGACTAAAATGGGTGGTGCACCTACCTCAAAATGGTACCATTGGTTCTGCCCCATGGCCATATTTATCTTCGGCAAAACGCAAGGGATCCAAAGGCAATGGTTCACCCCGGGCTTGGCCCTGCGAGTCGCAAGATCAATCCCTCGAGCCACCCTTCGAAGGTCCAAACCACTTTTCGGACCCTTTGGTTGCCAAGGCGCACGCTACACTCGCTGCACGTTGCGCCAAAGCAGCAACTCAACAGCAGCTGACGGGTTGTTCCCCCAACTTCGCCTTGCTTTCGGTTGACCTTGGAAACGTTGTCCTTCAACAAAAACAAATGGAAACTCCGTCCACCATGCGTGCTGCGATGGCGAACTTGCACCAAGCTGCGGCAGCCTCGTCCGCGTGCCGCTTACTGCGCTTGGAGGGCTGCTTCTTTGCCTGGTGGCTTCTTTTTCTCGCTGGATTTTCTGCTGGCAGAAACAAAGCCTGCCGCCCAATCAAATGGCAATCAATCGAAATAAAACTCGTTCAGCCGACTTGCGACTTTCAACTCACCGAATCATACTGGCAACCTGAGCCCAAGCGGAGACGGCAAAAGCAATCACGGGCCCTAGCAAACACAGGCACACCTAGAGTCGGAGAACCGACAACATGTGTGATCTTCTTGCATGCATCGTGTACGGGTAACACATGATGTGTTTTTTTGTTGGTGTATCTGTATGTGTGTGTGCCTTTGAACACGCCAAGCCAAAGAGCACAATGCAGGCCAAAGGGCAGTCTGCATTTGCCCTGCCTTGGGAGCCTCACCCATGATGACTGCTGCCAACCTGGACCCAAAGCTGACAGCGAGCCGTGGCAAGTGACAATAAGTTGGTCCTTGCATAGAAATATCACGCTCTTCATTGATCACTTCCAGCTGCAATGAATGTTCGTGCATGCATTTGTTTCACATGGGCCGTACGTTCCGCAGTTGCTGCAAACAATGGAAGGTCATCAAAATGGACAGGGCCTCCGCACCACCCCATTCCAAGCAAGTGCCACTCGCTATGATAGCTCGCCATTCGCTGTGTCGCCTCCGAGTGCAGAAGACAAAGGACACCGCTCCCAGTTGTCACCGCATTAGTTAGGCCACTGGGCCAGGGAAAGACCAAAGCAAACCTTGCTCGGATGGGAACGTCCTTCCGGAGCACAAGAACTGCAATTAGTGTTCCGAAGTGGCAAGTGATGCTGGATTCCATTGTCAGTTCTATCTGCTGTGCAGCAGGTTCTGCGTCCTGCCTCGCTTTGAGACTTGTCATGCAAAGCATCCCCTATTCTAGAAAATGGCTTGGATTGAAGCTGTTCCCGCTGTTTTTTAGCAATCTTTTCGTTCTATTGTATAGTCTACAGGAGTGGATCCACAAAAGCCACATCCAAACTGTTTTCTAGACCCATGTCTTCCGGCGGTCGCATACTTTGAAATACCTCGCGCGGCACGAAAGCTGGGCGCTTGACTCTTCCGCCCATGAGGTGAAGAGTCCGTTGCTCAGCCAGCCCTGCCTGGCAGTCTCGCAGGAACAAGGGCTCAAGGCCAAAGACAAAAACAACGCAGGCAGCGTCGTCGTCGTCATTCAGTTGGTGACGTCATTCCTGAATTCATGTAACGCCAATGAAAATTATGACTTCATTAGTGACTTCATGACGACGTCAAAAAGTGGGATAAGTTGAGCTTGTGTGCTTTTGGTATATAAGAACCCGCACATGCACACACACACACAAACGCCACGCCACAAGCATGCTTACGCGGATGCCTCCGCGGGTGTGAACCACGCGGGTGGATTTCCTACGTGGCATTACCTGTTTAGGTTCAAGCAACAGGTTGCAAGTGGATTTTATCTGGTGTTTGCTTTGGACCCCATCACGGCTTATGGCCCTTGCTCTGCCTGGGCATACGTCCCAGCAGTGGCAACCTTTTGCACCCGGACCGGGGAACAGGCGACCCCCCCCCCCTTTGTGCCAGGGCCCAGGCGGAAATGTAATGAAAGTCCAGTACCCAAGCATCCAGTCTGTCCAAACCCCTTTAAAACAGGCTGGTCCGGACCGCGAGTTTCTTACTGCACATTACCCCATTGCCGCGCCTCACATCCCGGCCGGCCATCTCGCAAGGGTTCTTATGCCCCTCGCGGTCCCAGGATCGCTGACCTCACTGGCGCTTCGTGACAGGTGCCCTGTGTACAAAGAGCATGTGCCGTGTCCCGGTCCGATCCCGGAGCCTTGAGCCAAGGTCAGCAGCCGGTTTCATCAATGCCTCCCTGCACGCTGAACGTACAAGTCGAAGTTTGGAAGGCCGCAGGCAAAATGTCATCTTTGCCAGCGAAGGGCACTGAATGAGTGAATGGTCACCTTTTCGGGCATTCTGAACAGTAACTTGTGAGAGAGTTCTCCCAAGCAGCGGAAAGTTGGCCATGCCAAACAATCCAAAGTGGCAGTCCGTGAGTGTGTATCCGTAAGCCCCCTGTATTAACCCAGCGTGCGCAAGCCTCACTGCCAAAAAACGCTTTGCGTGTTTCCAAGAATCATTAGAACTCCATGTCTGCCTCACAGGTGGTTCACAAGAAGCATTGGGCGAAGACGCTTCAGCACACGCATGCCCAATCTGGGAGGCCTGTTTGGGAGCTTCGAATTTGATCGGCTTTTTGGGCCAGTCCCCCTGAGTAGCCAACCTCAAATCAACATCACAGCCTCTGCATATCTGCCTCATCAGCTTACAAACCCGCATAGTTCGCATTTGCGATGTTGTACGAATGATCATTCAACAGTGCCAACTACGGCACGCCATGTTGAGAAACTCTTAGCTACACCTCAGCCGTGCCTTTTTGCACCTGGCTTCCGCTCGGCCGCTTGCCATCTGCCAAGGCCCGCGGCTCCAACTGTGCCGTCTCGCTGACTTAATGAATCTTGGCGGAGAGAAGACACGTGTACCCAGTAAACGTGCACATGTTGCTTGGTTGCTTGAAGGGGACGCTAGAGAAAAGCATGTGCCTCGCGCCGTTGATCAGGGCGCGTTCCTCGTTCCTCGTTCCATGTTGCGCCCCTATCCCCTTGCGGTTTGCAACCAAAGCCCAAGGACATCCGAAGGCTTGGGGCTGGGCACCAGGCATCTGGGCTTTCAAACCAGCGCGCCCAATCAGGTGGCTTGATGAAGCGCCTGTCCCTACTGCCTCCTTGGCAATGTTGTGAGTCGCGGCCTGTTGCGGACTACACACCTTGGGAGGCCGCACCCGCTACCATCTGCTGAGTACTTGCAACAGAAATACTCGCCGGCTAGGACCCACTGCAGCCCAGTTGCAAAAGTATCCAGAGGCAACCTCCTCACCAATGGCCTGCCCTGCATTTCTGCTACCTCCTCTTTGGGTTGAGACTCACTCAGTAGGGCTTGAAGCGGTTCTCCCCTCCACCCTCCTTCACAGGACCACCTCACAGCTCCGAGCGCGCTTCCATCGTCACGTCGGGCGCACAAATTCTGCGAACCCCATTGAACTGAAACACAACACGTGCATTCGCCAAGGCAGCCCGACGTATAAGAAACACGGGAGGTTGGCGGGGAATCCGTGTGCGCGAAGACCTGTGGAGGAACACCACCCCTGACTGAGTGTCAGGCAAGCTACGGCCCCAGAATCTTTCAATGCATCAAATCTAATTCCCCCCCCCCCCGTCCACTGAATGGACAACCTAAGCTCTGAAGTAGACAAACAACACACTGGACTTCAGTGCACATATAGGCTCTTTTTTGGCGGAGATGGTGGTTGGTTGTACTTTTGGTTGTCTTTCAAAACTACAAAAATGGGTACCTCAAAAAAGACCCCCCCATACGAGCTTTGGCCACACACAAAAAATTGCGCTAAGCACCCCACTTGTCTCAGCGCCTTCTCCCTCGCCGTCTCCTGGCAAATCTGGCAGTGAAGCAGGTCCCGCAGTGATGACTTCCACTCCACTCCGATGCGTGAAGCGTGTCTAACTCGCGCAGTCCAAACCTGGGCTCAAGAAGCTACAGTAAACTGACTCAAACACGAAGGTCGTCGAAAACATGTGACAGAATCGCCCACAGCTATATGCTTGCCTTGGACAGCTCCTCACACCAGGGTCGCACTGGAAAAAAAATGAAGCCATTGCTGGGGTTGCTTTGAACAGAACTATGACAAGTTGGCAAAAGCAAACTCCGCACACCAAAGCATTGAACCGCGATCTCTGCCATGACAACGTACCATTATGCACTTGTGCCATCAACTTTCGTGAAGCTAAAGCCTAAGTCTCAAGCCACAAGAGGCAACACGCACAAACGCGTAACAACAGCGAGCCGTACATTATATACCTGAACATTGCAACTTGTAAATGGTGGTTTCCCCCTTATTTTGGCGGGAAAAAACATGTTTCAAATGGGCAAAATGTATCTTTTAAGGAGCCCTGAACAAGAAGACCTGAATTGGCCCAAGACCATGCCCGCTCGCTCCCCTTTCCAAGTTGAATCAGGGCCCCAGAGCGCCTGCATCCGCGCTTGGGCTGGTTACGGCTGGAGCAGCCCCACCTGACAAAGGAGAGTCAGCAGCCCGGGAAGCCAGCCTTTGCCGGCAGTCTGTTGCACGATCGCCTCAAAACGCCTGGAACAACAAAACGGTTGCGCCGCCGTCTGTACCTTCCCCTCTCTACATCTTAGTCGTGCCATCGAAACACGCCATCGGCGGCCCTCGAAGCCCTGCCGAACAATTTGTGTCCTGTAGCGAAAACACACGCGCATCTCGCCTGGCATTCCAGGCATGCCGGGCATACCGGTCATGCCAGGCATGCTGGGCATCCCAGGCATACTGGGCATGCCCATCCCGGGCATCATGCAGCCGCCGCAAGGGCAGCCGCCGCAACAGCCTGGCCACGGGCCAAATGGGCCAATCGCTTGCCATTGCTCGAACCAGAAGTTGCTGCTCCCTTAATGACCGCAAACCTGGCAGGCATGACTACCCCAACGCGACAAAGGCTTTAAACCTCTGCAAATCGAAGTGAAGGATTAAGCTCATACTGCTATGCTGCAGGGTTGTTTTCCAAAGTTAATTGTGTTAAGTATCAGTACTGTTTTGTTTCACGCGCTTTGACTCTGGCTCGCTCTGGCTCGCTCTAGCTCGCTTTGGCTCGCTCTGGCTCTCTCTCCCTCTCTCTCTCTCTCTCTCTCTCTCTCTCTCTCTCTCTCTCCCCGTCTCTCTCTCTCCCTCCCTTCGAGGTTGCATCCACAGAGTCCTGCCTAGACAAGGCAACGGAACACACTCTGGTAATTATTCAGGGAGGGCCCAAAACACAAGCATGGAAACAAGGGTTTTGTTTGGGTTGGATCGGCTTGGATCGGCTTGGATCGGTAGACTGTGACAAAGCGGGCCCTGTACGTTGACATCTTCCAAAGGCTTAGCTTTGATAACGATGTGCAGTGTCAAATGCACTGTCTGTTCGACGCGCACGACTCTAAAGCAGAATGTCGTTTGGAGAATATATCGGGTTAAGTTGACGCACATCTTGATAGGTTAATTTGGAGCTTACATGTAAGCGGCAAGCCCACCGGTCATAGCATGTCCCCTGCCACATGACAAGCATCCCTACAGCAGATTCGGGCATTTACAACCAGCCACCTGAAGGCTTGTTGCTGTATAATGAATCCCAAAATGGCTGCAAACCAAAAAGACGGCTCATCTGTTGCAATTTTGACGCCTTGCCCTCGCCTGGCATCATGCCGCATGGCATCATGCCGCAGCCGCACGGCATGTTGCAGCCACTCGATCCTTAGAGTCCAGAGGTGACAACAACTGCTGGGGCAGACATGCTGCCTGATTGCAAAAAAACCATGTCTTCAAGCCCCTAACCTCCAGCCAACGAGCCACGCACAGATTCTGGACGCTGCGCTGTTTGTAATCCAACAGGGCCAAACAACGACTTCCTGGCTCAGGGAGGGTCCGCAGCCTGCCGGCATGCTTCGACAGGATGTGTTCTCTTGATAGCATATTATGGCGAGCTTGCAAATCAGCAGGGCATCCTGAATCAGTTGAATTCCACATCCCTCCACCGTGGAATCTGAGTTCTGGCTCCCGAAGCAAGACAGCGGGCAACTGGACATGTTTCACCCCAAGATCCTCTCCCCATCCCAAAAGGTCGAGGGAAACTGGGGGCTGCTTCTACTACAATCCTCCTCTTGGCCCTCTTCATGTTCCAACCCTCCCACAGCTCCCCGATAGCTCCTGGCCGCATCTGGGGCGCCGGCCCTGCGAAGCTCCCGGCCCACCGGACGCCTCGGCGTTGGCGCCGGGGCAGCCGCCGGGCATCATGGGCCGCGCGCCCATCATCCTCGGCCAACGACTCGACGTCAGCCCCCGGCTTTGGGAAGTCAACTGGTAGATTGGGTTTGCGGGCTCGCCCATGCCATTGCCGCAAATGGCACCCTGTCTTGTTTTTTCTCCAGACCGTGCGCATAGACTGGCCCAGACATGCACATTTGAAGTGTAGTCGACTGAAATGCGAGGTGGATGCCTCCAAACATTGGCGTAGAAGGCGCATAGCGCTTTGCAAGCAAGCTTGGTGCTGCAACGGGATATTGGGCAATATGCGCAATCATGCTAAGAAACGATAACTCACAACTAAAAGCCTTGCAAAAGCATCGTTGCAGCAGGCTCAGCGCAAAAGCCCTCTCATCCCCGCACAACTTGCATGGCATCTAGAAGTAGCTAGGTAACCCATGGCTGTATGCAAGCAGGTCTTGGCTGGACGTTGCTGCAAGGCCGCTCCTTGCTTCACTTCTAAATTGCCACTTCTTCAAATTCTGCAACCTAACTCTGCATGCAAGTAAAATCCGCCGACAACAAAGTGATGCAGGCGGCGTGTTGGACATAATCAGACTATTGCGGGGGGGGGGGGGGTCCACGTACCACGCGGTGATTCGAAGACGCTTCACTAAATCTGTTCATTGTGCGGGCTTGCAACTCAGTTTGTCAAAAACATTGGGGTTAGACCAAAACTTAGCCTCTATAAATAGGGGAGTCTGTCGTTTTCGCCGTACAGGAAAAAAACGTAACAAATAACGTAAATAAATCAGGTGTTCTGGTTGGCCAGGCCCTTAGAAGAAAGAGTCTGTAAATAATTTGGTAAATAATCATGGGAATCTGGGATCACTCACTTGGAGTCTGGCAATAATCTGGTCAAGAATCAGGGGCACCATCGTGCCACTAGCAAATCATTGAGTTATCAATCACTGTATCAGTATCGTATCCGTATCACAAATAATAATCAGTCTGAGACAGTCTGAGTCTGAGTCTTACTCTTATCTAATCTAAGCTGTACTCATAATCCAATCTGATAATCAGATAACCTGTGCCTGTGTCTGTTTGACATGTGGCATGTGACATGTGACATCCCCCAAAACGCGTCTCTACTGTTTGGAAACTGTTTGGTTGTTTCATCATTTGATCATTTGATCATTTGATCAGCATGAGAATGAGTGGGATGGCCTGTGCAGGCCTCAAGCGTGGAGCTGTTGCGGCTCAAAGCTCAAAGGCTTTGAAGGTGCAGTGATGTTGCCTGGGATGGCCGGCTGCAAGCGGAAGCGGCTTTCTTTGGTGTCTCGACTCGGACGTGTTTGGGTATCCAAGTCCAAGTGATTTATTCGTGTGATGCGTGGCTTCAGATTCGATTGACCCATTAATGAATGAATCTTGCTAATTCTAATGAGAAATGAATGAATCCGAATCTGACCTGATGTGTCTGAGCCATATTTCAGAATTCATGACAGGCGAGTCATAGTTCACATGTCAGGGCAGGCGCCGTTGTCAGTGGTGTTCCGGACAGTCATGGTTTGACTTAACTCATGAGCATCAGCAATCAGCAGGTTACGATTTGCGGTTTGCCGGTTTGTTGGTGTGCCTCATATTTCCATCTTCATTTCATAAAGCATTGCCACAAGCTGTGATTCATGGCTTGCGCGACTCAGGGCTCCAGCGAGAGCAGCAAGGCGGAGTCCAGCAGTTCGTCTTCGGATGAGTCAGAGGACCGCAGTGCTTTTTGATTGGATTTTCCTGGCAGTTCAAGAGTTTTTCGGACTGTGGAGGCAGGTTGAATGGAATGGTCCGCACGGTCCGGAATAGTTTCGTTGGGACCGTTAGGCCGTTAGGAGTCAGGAGTCTAGGTCCAGGCAACCTAGGTTAGCCTAGGCTTAGGTTCGACTAGGCCCAGGGGTTCTTCGAGGTTTACGGACGATGTAATTCTGCTTTGCTCCAGCGGTGCCATTTGAGTCGGGCGATTTGGCTTGCTCTGAGATTTTTCGCTTTTGAGCTTGCGCCGCCACCTTTGAAGCCTTAGGCCTTGCCTTAAACATTGAGAAGTTCGAGAAGTTTGTTAGATTGTTTGTCAGTCTTTGTTTGAGAATTGAGACGTTGCGCTTTGCAATGTGTCACATTGTCATAGTGAAGTTAGTGACAGTTAGTGACAGTGAGTCAGTCACTGACTGGGTCTTACTTAGACTAGACTAGACGACTAGAGTCTGACTAGAGTCGACTAGACTACCGACGAGAGTCTTTAGTAACTTTAGTCTAACTTTAGTATTAGACTCTAGACTCAGAGTCTTGAGTCTTGAGTCTTGAGTCTTGAGTCAACTTGAGTCAATGGTCAATGGTTGCTTAGTTTGAGACGGAGATGATTAGAATCAGTGTGCAGTTTAAGTGTCGAAGGTCGGATATCGAATTCGAAACAACATTCATCATGTGACTGTGTGTGACATTACACCGTGTCACTTCGATGTCGACCGCTTGTCACGCAGTGCTGCAGGACTGTTAAGGTCAGCCTCAGACAGACCAATCTAATCGAGTCGTAGTAGTGGTCAGTAGTCAGTAGTCTGACAGTAGTCTGGTTAAGTTAAGTTAAGAGTTAGACTAAGCTAGAAATCCTTCCTCAACCGAGTCTTAGTTCTTTAAGTCTTTAAGTCTTTAAGTCTTAATCATCTACTTATTGTTTGTCATTGAATCGAAATTATTGTGATACGATTGGTGTTTGGCATGATGACACACATGACATGACGCGTGTAAGATGCGTGTCGCGGAGTGCAGTCTGCCGTAAACACTGCATGTGTACGGTTTACTGTACGTTTTAATACGGTTTACGACATCCGTGTGTGTCACGTCGCGTGCCGCACGTCGTGTCAAACAGTCATGCAGCCATGCAGCAATGCATGCAGAGTCATGAGTCAAGAGTCAGAGTCATAGTATTCATAGTATTGTTTGAGTCAGTCATGAGTCATGAGTCATGAGTCATTGAGTCATGAGTCATATAATATGATATCTATATGAGTCATATGAATATGATCATATGAGTCATGAGTCATGAGTTAATTGGGACGCAGGCTCACCGTGCGCATTGGAGGAAGCAGCGCCGCCGCCGAGCCCGACGTTCACTTTGTTTCCAAGGAGCTGGTTTCCGCGGCGCCTTGGTATGCCTTGGTTGACCGAGTGTTGAAGCACCCTTCGCGCCCGATTTGCCACTGCAGACTTGACAAGTGGACAACTGGTAACTGGGAGTTTCAGCTTCTGTCATTTCAGCAGATTGTGCTTTGCGCGTTCCACGCACCCCCTTCGATCTCGTAGACGGACTAGTCGTGTTGTCTATCGTGCGGGTTGTTGTCAGGTACTTGGAGCTTGCTGGGGTGAAGGCGGAGCACTTCATGCAAAACGCGGTGTTCCTTGCTTGCAGGGGGAAGGGGAATGAGTGGCGAGTCAATCGGCTTTTGCTTGCGGCTCGCCTGATTCAATTGGCAATGGCATTGGCATTGGCATTGAACCTCAGTCTGAGTCTGAGGCAGTTGGGTCGAGTCAGTGGAGTTTGGGCAGTTTGGGCGGGTTTATTATAATCAATCATGAATCAATCAATAAACCGGGAATCATGAATTGAATCATGAATATCATGAATCATGAATCATGAATCAATCATAATTTCATAACGACTTAATTATTTTAGTCAGTCAACCAATCTGACAATCTAATTAATAGTAATAATATAATAATAATTCTAGTTACTAATTACTAATTTAATTAAATTCAAAAAATACATATTCGGTATACGTTAGTCATAGTCGGTCACTTTCGATCTGACTCTGAGCCATTCTGCATTCCCACCCAATAGGTCCAGACTCTGGACGCTGGCTTTCTATTGCAAGGCTGCAACGGCAAGGGTTTATCGTAGCCGTTGTGACCAAGGCTGCCAAAGCTTTGACTTGACTTTGCTTGACTCACTATGTTCGACCCCCTATGGCCCCTAAGTAAGTAAGTAAGTAAGTAACGAACCGAGAAAGCAGTTAAAGTTAAGTTGAGTCAAGTCTGTCAAGACGCTAGACTCTAGACGCTAGCTAGAGTCTAGAGTCTAGAGACTTAAACTTTTAACCTCAAAAACAATACTTAAAACTTAAATTAAAACTTACTTAAAACTCTTAAGACTCAGTCACCCAGCCAAGACAGAAAGTCAATAATGAGTCATGAGTCGTTCATGAGTCTGAGTTATGGTAGGAGTGCGAGAAGGACTGGGAGTGGGTGGGGCGGGGGGCAGTGCGGAGCGCGGGCTGGGGTGGAGTGCGGAGACTGCGTAGGAGTAGGAACATTGGAACTTCGTCGTGTCACGTCAGTTCAAGGCGATCGAGATGCCTACTCTGCCTACTGCCTACTTGTTTGGCTTTTGCTTGATTGACGATTGAAATTGAAGTCACTTATAACTTATAACTATTTAACCAACTTATAACTTATAACTTATAACTGTTTGCGGGCACCTTGGTTCTCTCCTGGCTTATACCCGACACACTTGCTGTGTCTGAGGCTGCGAGCCTGGGGCGCCTGCGAAGGCGCCGGGACCACTGCCTACATCATGCCCCTTGGCAAGTGTAGCCCAAGCTTGATGTAGCGCAAGGTTCAAGTTGGCAAGAATATTCGCCGAATACCATGGACCATGACCATAACTCAACTCATCGGCGCAATTCCTTGTCTTCGTTGTGATGGGCAGAGCAAACTTTATTTTAGGTGAATTCCAAATTCGGTTCTGGGCACTTTTGATCTGAGTGTGACTTGACTTCAAGAAAACGCTACTAGCCGCAGCTTCTCTCTAAGCCCCAGCAAAACTTTGCCCCGAGGCACCAAACCCACGTCAGCAGGCGCCGGACATGTCCCAATCAGATTGTCAGTCTGGGTCAGTTGAGTTGATTGCATAGACTCTAGACTCTAGACTCATATCCATAGACTCCACAGACTGTCATTGACTCGCCATGCTCGTGTTTCAGACCTTCTCAGAGATTGGGAAACGCCAGCGCTTCACACGCGACG